CCTGTATTACGCAAGCTGACAGCATTCTGCTTGTCGGTCTTGCGGATGGTTCCCCGGCCACCGGCGAGTATGAACGATTCATGCTTGGGATGAAGTCGACCGCCAGGAAGATGCTCGTCCTAGTGCACAATGAGCGCTTCTCACGACCAGGCTTGACTCGATCCTGGCTGCGCAACAGAATGTGGATCAACGGTGGTCACTACCATATTCAAATGCCATATAGTACAAATGCCATACCCGTCCACCTTCCCCCGTCTAAGAGACTTGGACAAGCTCTCAAAGAGCGAGTGCAGGTGCTTCAAGCAGAAATTCAAAAATACACGTCAAGGAAAGTCCACCACACACCGTACTACTCTCCTGACACCCCATACAAGAGCGACTTTCATCGCCTTGCCCGTCGCCTCTGTGGCAAGTCTATTGGGTTGGTTCTCGGTGGCGGCGGAGCTAGAGGTATGAGTCAGATTGGTGTGATTAGGGCTATGGAAGAGGCCGGTATTCCTATTGACGTGGTAGGTGGCACTTCTATTGGCGCCTTTGTTGGAGCTTTATATGCTCGCCATGCAGACATAGTCCCCATGTTTGGTTTTGCAAAGAAGTTCTTTGGCCGCATGGCAAGTTTGTGGCGATTCGCTCTCGACTTGACGTATCCATCGGCATCATACACAACCGGTCATGAATTCAATCGAGGCATCTTCAAGACGTTTGGCAACACACAGATTGAAGATTTTTGGCTCGAGTACTATTGCAATACGACCAATATTAGTAAGAGCAGAGTGGAATTTCACACGAGTGGATATGCATGGAGGTATATCCGAGCATCCATGTCGCTTGCTGGCTTGCTGCCACCTCTCTGCGACGAGGGGAGCATGCTATTGGATGGTGGCTACGTTGACAACTTAACAGTTTCGCATATGAAGGCGCTTGGTGTTGATACCATCTTTGCTGTTGATGTCGGAGCCCTTGACGATGACACGCCACAAACGTATGGTGACTCGCTGTCGGGTATGTGGGCTTTCTTCAATAGATGGAACCCATTGTCAGCACATCCCAACCCGCCTACGTTAGCAGAGATCCAGGGGCGTTTAGCTTATGTGTCGAGCGTAGATGCATTGGAGCGAGCAAAGAATATGCCAGGGTGCATTTACATGCGCCCGCCTGTTGATGACTATGGCACATTGGATTTTATCAAATTCGACGAAGTGTACCAGATGGGATACAGATTCGGCAAAGAGTTTTTACAAAGATTGAAAGACGAGGGAGGGTTCCCCTGGATGGAAGAAGCCGAGGCTAAAGAAGCAATGCGTCGAACAAAGGCACCTCGTAGAGCGAGCATTTAGATAATGAGAAACGGCCTGGTTTGCCATGCCGAATCATATCGTACGCTGAGACTTTGGATGATTTCCTTCGCATTGTGAATACTATACCTCACTGCGTCGTGCTGCTATCTGTTATGTCCTTGCAATGGCAATCGAGAGTGAAGCATGACTGCCTATCCATTTCCATGTCTTCATGAAGCGACGTCATCAACCACATTAGCATCCCAAAACCCAGTTGCGGATTAGTATGACAATGTCTCTCTGACTTTTCTCCCCCTTGACTCTCTCACTCCCTGTCTTTTCCCTACCAATCCTGGCCTTCTTTGCAACTTGCCCTTCTCCAACAACCCCTTCCTTCTGCTTCACCACCGCAAGCTCTTCTCTTTGCGTTGATGGCGTTGTACGACTTGATCCCCACACTCATTGGATATCTGGATTCTGATTAATGGCATTATGGCCAGCAAGGTGTGTGCTCTTTACGGAGAAGTACTGGCATCACAGAAGAGTAGCATGTAGCTCTGGACAGCTCGTCCAACCCTTGATTCAATGTCGGGTTCCATAATCTATCTGTTCCGGCAATAGATGTGCCTCGCTGTGACCGGGCCTAAATGACCTCTAGCTTTTTGAATTCAAGATGCAAAGCGCACAGTAAGGAAGCACTCATCTTCCATGTTAGTCGGCTTTTTTTTATTCTCTTTTTTTTTTTAACTCGACGTCGCTCCTAGCGCTTATGGACTGCACAAGAGAGATGGGAAGTGTATCTGTGATGGATGATAAGTGTTGTGCTCACTTGACTGGCCTCTGCCTGTCCTTGTTGGCCACTAAGATAATTAGGCCAATTTGTCTTACATCGTACATTCAGGTGAGACAAACACCCACTTCCTTGGTCCAATCTGCAGCGGGTATCGAGTCTCACATTCACCGTAGTACTAGGTACCTGCATTGGAAGCAGAGAGTCAAAAAGGACTTGACAACCAGAAGGGTTTTTACTACTTGACACTAGTACGCGCTTTGAGGTCTGATAATATGAATGTTTGTGATTGAGTAGCAACGGGCATTCTCGATGATACTTGACTACCTGCAGTACGGAGTAGGTAGGTCCAAGATGGGTCAATGTCGGAACAGATAGGCTGGACACAACATAGCTAGCCATGGGGTAGCGCCTGATAAGCCCCTTCCACCTTGCGGGCGCCTCCTATGTTTGGGTCAACGCCCCAAAAACTGTCAAAAAGCCAGGAAGAGGCTTTAGAATGGGGCAAGGCATTTTTGCATCCCGAGGCGAACGTGCTCAATGTTCACCCACTTCGTGATTTGACGACAACCAAGCTTGGGCCAGCTGAATACGATCCATGAGGAATTCTGGCGAAACACAGCCCCGCGAGGGGCACGTGGGCAACTGCATTAAGAATACATGGTGCTAGTACGGAGTAGTCGTAGTGTAATGCTGCTGAAAGTAGTTGAGCGGCTAGTGCTGCACATTGTCGATGCCCAGGGCCATAGCAATTGCACAGCTGACAGAGGCATGTTCTCTAGGTGGGAGTCGACCGCCCTGCAAAACGCATTGATCGCGGCTGGCCAATGACATTTAGAGTCTAGGTATTGTATTTCATGATTCGTCTCTAGACGCTGTGCAGATCTGCCGGGAACGGATGCAGAGTACCGGCAACATGTTTGGTGTCGGTCTCGTGCTATTCCCCAGTCGATTAGCGATGAGGAATATCGTCTTTCATATGACGGAACCAACACTGGCACCTGAATATGAAGGGGTTTAGAGTTCGCGCTACCTGGCTTCTTCCGTCGGCACAATTTTAGTACTAGAATGGAGCCTTTGACAAGCGAGATATTCAGGCCCGTGTCAGCCCCGCAAGCCACCTTATGGGGCCTGGTTCAATAATACCAGTACGTACCCCCACGACACAGCCTTATTTCCCGTGCTAGGTGCTAGCCTCTCTGCCGGAGACCTACCGAAGGGCTGGATCTGTCAAGGTTCTCGAAGTACAGCCCCCAAACATGTTATGCACATCGAACAGCCACTTTGGACGCGGTGGAGCAACTCGAGCAGTCGAAGGCATTACGCCCAAGGTGGATTTCCCCCTACCCTTTACCACTTTGCCGTCCTTTCGCCAACGTTGGCCGTCGGGAGAAGGGAGAAGTCGAACTTGTTGACTACGCCGTTGGCTGTACTAACTGGCAAGATCTGATTGACCGTTGAAGTGCACGGGGGGGCACGGAGCAGTCCACAATGGACGTAGTCAAGACTGTGGAGACACGGAGGCCCGCGGGAGAGGATGAGTGGAGTCAGGGTGCCATGTTTGACGTCTTGTCGTGCGTGTCGTGTGCCTGGAGGTGCAAAAGGGAAAGAGGTCACGGCAGGTCATTAACGGCAAAGCCAAGCGACTCGGTCGGAGGCTCGGAGCAAGGGAAGGAGCTAGTCAGGCTGCGGCTTCGGGGTGCCTGGGGACGGAAGGTGCAGCCCAGGGGTCGACCGGTGGCGCCCATTTCCTGCCGCGACTGCGGCAACATTGAAATTAGGAGTACAGAGAGAGGACCCTTGTATGGAGCGCGACGTTGTGCAACAAGAGATTTCATGTCACAGTGATGAATTGATTGCTAGGAGGTAGTTACTCCGTACTCGGTGGTGCAATAATTGCTGATACGGAGTGCCCCGTACATTATTAGTAGGTAGTTATGTATTAATTAATGCAGCAACTTGGTCATATTGCCTGGCCAATTCCTCCGTGCTCGTACGGACTCTCGTCTCGACGCCGTGGCTCGTTCCTCCTTCTGATCGATCCTGCGGCTCTTTCTGCTCCGTACACCGAAGCAGTCTCGTCGTTCCCATGTCATCGCATCTCTTTTGCTTGCCACTTGTCTCTCGGTCCAGTCAAGTTCAGCTCAGCTCAGCTCAGCTTCGGCTTCAGCTCCAACAGCTGCGCTGATATATCTGTCCTTTATTCTCCGTACACGCATTCCTCCTTCTCGCCTTCTCTCGTGGATCGACATCTCTTCTGTGTTAGTCACGCTCATCGTCTCCCACCTGGCTAAACGGCCCACTACGCATCAACAGCAGCTCCAACAAACACCGCCGACGACTGGCGATCCTGACGAATTACGCCAGTCTCGTCTAGCCTCGCATTGCCCCCATTCGCCGTCGTTTCCCGCTACAAAAGCACGGTTTCATTGCTCGACATAGACTGTCTACAGAGTCATGTCCGAGGACAGGAGCCTACGCCCACATACACACTAATAAAAACGCGCACTTCACCTGGCGCCCTGGGCCTCTGTGGAGAATTGGGCATTCCTACTCATAACGTTCAACCTTGGTGGGCCCTTTGATCAACTCCACTTATACGGAGGCCTTATCAATAAGTATTGCCGGGTACTGAAAGATCAGCCTGGTAAACCTCCTTGCCCCAGCTCCCTGTATTCTCCTTTGTTCTTCTTGTTAATTTATTGGGGGGTTTGGTTGACAGTTTGGTTGCTGCTCCCAGTACCCTTTTCTCATTCACTACACTACATACCAATGTGATGCAACTCATGGTTTATTTTCGAGCTTCAATAAGTCACACGACTGGCACGCGACACCTTTCGACTGCCGGTGTCCATCACCGAATCGACAGAGCGCCCAAGGCCACCGACAGTCGATCGAATTCAGCAGCGTGAAACACCCAGGGCATATACGCAATGGTTCGCGGCCAGCGCCGTCGCCATGATTCTCCCAATCAGCCTGCCGGATTGTGTTGCGTACGACAATGCCTACGAGCCATCGCTGCCCGGCTAACAAGCCGTCGAGTTGTCGTTGCCATTGCTTCTCGATTTACGAATAGAAGATTTGCCTTTGCGCTAGCTGTTGTGTCGGTGCTTGGTGCCAAGGCCGTGCATATTCACACTCACATCACGGCATTGTCGAGGGTGCATCTGTTGCGCTGGGGCTACTCGTTCTTTGCCCAAGACTTGGCACTTCTCCTGATAATACGACTGTTGTTGGACAATTGGGTCTTCTCGGTGGTGCGGCCATTACGAGCACTAGCCACGTTTGCCGCCAGCATTTTGCTGTCATTCGTTATTGCATTAGGCGTCATCAACGTTTCCTTCTTCGTCGTTTCGGGTTCAGAAATCCACTGGCGCAACATTGCATTGGCCAGCGACTCTTCCTCCTGGTCAATGTTTCTCTCTGGGTTATTTTCGCTAGCGCTGGTCGTGTGCGTTGCCTTTGTAGCTGGCTGGGTGCTGCAGGATGCTGTCTTTGATCTATTTGGTGTCGGCACCGATTTGGTCAAGTGGCCTGCGGCTGCCGTCCTACAAGGGATTCCTGGTATAAATCGCCTCTCACACCAGGCTAGCAACTACGACGTAGTCCCCCAGCAAGACGTTGAATATGGCGAAAAGTTCGACGACAGCGACGGAGAACCAATGTTTGGCATTTCCGCAGCGAAAGAGGCCCCCAATTGGCGGCGGTGGATCAAACCACTTCTGTACCTGTTTACATTTGCGGCCTTGACAGCCCAAATTATTCTCTTCTTTATTCGACCCCACGAAAGCTCTCTGATTTTCATGTCTTGGACATCTGCTTTGCTACCATTTGTAGACTTTTCCAATTCTTCTCCGAACCTTGACAACATGCAGCCTGTCTACGGCTCTGGCATCGGTCGTTCTTGGGATAATCTCACAGCTGTCCACAACGTATCGTCTCCAGCCGGAATACCGTCGTCATTGGCCCGAACCATGGACTTCTGGCACCAATATGTTCCCGAAAGGCACTACAGTGCTGCCAACGACCCGCTCAAAATATCGAACATGAAGGATAATGTTTTAGCCGACCTCCGAGACAAGCTGTTACAGGTGCCTATCCGTCATGTTGTACTTATATTTCTCGAGAGCACCCGTAAGGATTTTTTTCCCGTAAAAAAGGACGGCCTTGTATGGGGAAAACTGGCGCAGTCGTTTGAGAATGGGACCTTGCCTGAGGATGCACAAGAGAAGCTAGCCTCCTTGACACCAAACGCAAATTTCATTACCGGAGATTATGACGACGGATTTCCACACCCCAAGGACAAGGTCAAAAGACGCGGTGGCCTCAATTTTAACAATGCGTTTACGCCTGCGACTTACACATTAAAGAGCCTCGTCGGAACACTTTGTGGCGCATCACCACTGGTTGCAGATTTCAATCTTGAGGTTGTTCACAGACTTCCCGCACCTTGTATGCCACATATTTTTGATGCACTAAATCATATCCATCTCGCAAAGGGGGAGCGCGACGACAAAGCCGGCAGAGCATTCCTCTCGGATAAATGGACCTCATCATTTATGCAATCCGTCACGATGGATTTTGATAGCGAAAAGGGATTGCTAGAAAACATGGGATATCCACGGGAAAAGCTCATCTCCAAGGAGTATTTGAAAGGAGAAAAGGGAAACGTTCCCAAGTTTGGAATATCTGATTTACCGGACGTTAATTATTTTGGTATTCCCGAAAGTCCATTAGAGGATTATATTCGGGATACGTTTGTCTCGGCCAAGGAGAGAAACGAGCGAGTATTTCTCACCCACCTTACGAGCACGAGCCACCATCCCTTTGGACTTCCCGAGAATGAGACATATGTGCCTATGGCTCACGGCATGGAAGACTTTTCAAAGTACATCAACAGCCTTGGGTACGATGACAAGTGGCTGGGCAAGATACTGGGCATGCTGGATGAGCAAGGAGTGGCAGACGAGACTCTCGTTGTCATGGTTGGCGATCACGGCCTATCTATGCCCGAGAATGGACTGGTTTCAGCATATTATAATCCGAATGTTGGCAACTTGCACGTGCCCTTGGTTATATCGCATCCGAAGTTACCCGTGATCAACATTGACGACGCTGTCACCTCTTTGCAGATTCTCCCCACGATTATGGACTTGCTTGTTGAGACAGGTTCACTTGCGCCGGAGCATGGTCGGGTTGTGAAAAGCCTGACAGCCAGGAGTTACGAAGGACAGACAATGATTCGAGAACTACGAAAATCATCGAAAACCGGTCAAGGAGACTGGCAATTTACCATAATTAATCCAGGGCGAGCCATGGTCAGCGTTCGCGATGCTCGCAAGCCACACCTGCGACTAGTAGTCCCTGTGATCGACAACATCGAATGGCGATTCACAGACCTCAGTTCCGATCCGACTGAGCAGGTACCTGTGCAGGGCTTTGAGTTTGTTTCGTTTTTGCATAGCGTTGAGCAGACGCACGGCATAGAAATCGCGAAATGGGTAGAAGAAGCTGCTTTCATCTCTCGATGGTGGGTTGAAGACAATAGCAAGCGATGGCGTTATGGTCCTTACAGAGACTACCTGCCGTAGCGGGTTGTATTTTGATTACATTACATTGCATTGGTTTTTTATTTTATTTTTTCTGTGGGATATACGGATCAGCGATTAACGCCACGAAGGCGAGCATTAGGCATATAAGTTCATTTGTACTTGGTTCAACTATGAAGATAGAGGATGTGGATTTTTTCTTTGGTTCAGTTATTGCCAGCTCTGGGGAATGGTGGTGCCTTGCAAAGAGAGTGAGCGGCTGTATTTGAGCTTCACGAGATTAGAGCCCTATTGTCTATTTATTGGACCAGAAAAAATGCCTGATGTCTAGGGAACCAAAGCACAACATGGCCGGTTGGCCTCCGCTGTTCGCCGCAAGCGAGCGACGATACGAAACTCAAGGCAGATGCAGCTCGTGTGACCCCCACGACAGTCTGGTCTGCATCATGAAAGCCCACCCAGCGGCCCCCCACCCCCATCCCCATCTGCCACGGGATGTAGTTACGCCCACGCCTTTTTAAGTGTGGGGTTCTTGATAGTATCAACTTCTTATTACCCTAACCTATGTTTATCCTATCTTTATTTTCAACATGGCTGTTGTTTAATTCTTTTCTGCAGTCATATCAAAGCTATGATCGCAGCAGACATTCTCTTCTCCTCACCCACCGTCGTGACGGGCGAAGAGTCAGCGACCCCGTTTATCGCCGACGTTCTCGTCTCTCATGGCTTGATCGCACAAATGGGCGAACCGGGAAGCATAGATGCCCCTTTGGCGAGGGTTATTGAGGCCAAGGGGCTCGTACTCTCGCCGGGGTTCATTGACATGCATGCCCATTCAGACTTGTATCTGCTCACTCACCCGGAGCATGAGGCCAAGATCTCACAGGGGTGTACTGTAAGCCAACCTCAACCATGTCTTGCTGGACCGACGTGGGATTGGGGTTACTGACGGCAGTAGACAGAGGTAGTAGGCCAAGACGGCATATCCTACGCCCCCGTCTGCAACACAAGCCAGCTGCAAGCCATCCGCGAGCAAATCGCTGGCTGGAACGGCAACCCTACCGACGAGGAGTGCGCAACTCTGCACCGGGGCGTGGGCATGTTCGAGTGGCGCACGGTGGGCGAGTACCTGGACTGCTTGGAGAGGAATAAGACGGCTACGAATGTGGCCATGCTGGTGCCTCAGGGCAACTTGCGACTCCTGACGTGCGGTCCCGACGACAGGGTGGCCACGCCCGAGGAGATTCAGCACCAGGTCCGGCTGTTGAGGGAGGCCATGGACCAGGGAGCCGTTGGTATGTCGAGGTATGTTCTTCCTATGCCCTTCCTTGGCTCTGCTAGTATCCCGTGGGACGCCTTCTAATGGCAGTTGGAAGCGGTTTGACGTACACGCCCGGCATGTACGCGTCCACCTCGGAGCTGGGCGTCCTGTGCAAGGCGCTGGCAGACGAGTACCCCGGTGCTTTCTACGCGCCCCATCATAGGAGTTATGGCTTCAAGGCGATTGAGAGCTATGCGGAGATGTTGGACCTCGGGAGCTCGACTGGCTGCCCTGTTCGTGCGTACATGCTCTTTGGTAACCCTAGCGTTTGAGCGACCGTGGCTAATGGCTCTGTACTTTGGGGGGCCAGATTTGACCCACGCAACGCTCAACTTCTCCGAGAATAGGGGGAAAGCGCCGCTGCTGCTGTCCATGATTGATGAGAAGCTCTCGCGGGGCGTCGACGTCACACTCGACACGTACCCCTATCTGCCGGGGTGTACGACGCTCGCGGCGCTGATTCCCAGCTGGGCCTCGTCTGGGGGACCGGCCGAGACGTTGAAGCGGTTGCGGGATCCGGAGACGAGGGAGAGGATTCGGGTTGCGGTTGAGGAGACGGGGTGTGATGGGGGACATGGGATTCCTACGAACTGGGAAGAGATCCAGGTCTGTATTTTGGTCCTCGCTGCGCTCGTTTTGCCGTCCTTTGAAGTCGTTGCTGAAAGTTTTTTGCTATGCTCTAAAAACCCTTGCTTCACTCATCATGTTATATCCTTGCTCCGCCTCGTTTTGCCATCCTCCAAAGTCCTTCCCTCCTTTTTCTAATTTGTGTCCTCGCTTCGCTCGTCTTGCCGTCGTCTGAAACTTCTCACTTCACTCATTATGCCCACCATTCTGTCCTCGCTACCGACATAATCTCATCTCATAATCATCACACATCTGACGGAGCCCACACAGATTGGAACGACAAACCACCCCTCGATAGCGAGCTACTCGGGCCGCCGCATATCCGAGGTGGCAAGCAGCCTCAGGACGCGGCCGCACGAGATTTTCTTCGAGGTCCTGGTCAAAGACCGCCTGGCCACCTCGTGCCTGATGCACGTCGGCAACGAGCCTAACGTCCGCGCCATCATGCAGCACCGCGTGCACATGTCGGGCAGCGACGCCATCCTGCACGGCAAGACGACGCACCCGCGCGCGTACGGCACCTTCACGCGCTACCTGGGCCGCTACGCGCGCGAGCTGGGGCTCGTCTCGCTCCCCGACATGGTGGCCCATCTGACCAGCCGGCCGGCCAAGAGGCTGGGCGTGTATCCGGCGAGGGGGGTCGTGAGGGTCGGCTCGGCGGCCGATCTGGTTCTGTTCGACGCCGCGCGCGTCAGGGACAGGGCCACGTTTGAGGAGCCCAAGTTGACAAGTGAGGGCGTGAGGTACGTGCTTGTCAATGGGGTCGTTGCGCTGGACGAGGGCGAGTTGCGCGGCGTGAGGGCTGGCAAGACGCTGAGGAGAAGGGGTGACGGGAGCGTTGCCTAAGGAATAATGTTGCATGCTCCTGTTTTGTGAGTTGGGATGACGGTTGTAGTTGAAGCATGGTGTTTTCTATCTATCTATCTATATATATATATATATATATATATATATGTATACATATATTTCTATATACATATGCATATACTTCTTGTCTATAGACTCCTCACTCCAAAGCACCAACCTCCACCATAGGGCTGATATGCAACTTGATCGTGGTAGACTTTACCATCTAGGCACCAAGGGGTAGCCTACACGGCACCATGAGAAACCAACCTCATCAAACCGATGCCATTCTAATTCGGCAGCTTGCCACAAACCTTCTCCGCCTCCTCCACCAAAGCCTCAAACACGCCCTGCACATGCTCCTCGCGCACGCTGGGCACCCCCAAGCACACCCTAATGGCGAACTTGCCGGCGACAACGGTGCTCGTCAGGTAGAACCTGCCGCCGGCGTTCACAGCCTCGTACACCTTCTCCGTGCGCGCATTCACCTCGTCCTCGTCCCGCCCGCCGACCCGCAGCGAGACCAGCCCGAACCTCGAGGCCGTAAAGACGGTAAACAGGTCCCCCCTGCGCCGCAGCCTCTCCTCCAGCATATGCATATGTATATATAAATATATGTATATATATATATATATATATATATATATATATATATATATATATATATATATATATATGTATACATATATTTCTATATACATATGCATATACTTCTTGTCTATAGACTCCTCACTCCAAAGCACCAACCTCCACCATAGGGCTGATATGCAACTTGATCGTGGTAGACTTTACCATCTAGGCACCAAGGGGTAGCCTACACGGCACCATGAGAAACCAACCTCATCAAACCGATGCCATTCTAATTCGGCAGCTTGCCACAAACCTTCTCCGCCTCCTCCACCAAAGCCTCAAACACGCCCTGCACATGCTCCTCGCGCACGCTGGGCACCCCCAAGCACACCCTAATGGCGAACTTGCCGGCGACAACGGTGCTCGTCAGGTAGAACCTGCCGCCGGCGTTCACAGCCTCGTACACCTTCTCCGTGCGCGCATTCACCTCGTCCTCGTCCCGCCCGCCGACCCGCAGCGAGACCAGCCCGAACCTCGAGGCCGTAAAGACGGTAAACAGGTCCCCCCTGCGCCGCAGCCTCTCCTCCAGCTTCTCGCCCATGGCGACGCCGTTGCGGATGTGGGCCTGCAGGCCCTTTATGCCGTAGCTGCGCAGGACGAACCACAGCTTGAGCGAGCGGAACCGCCGGCCCAGCGGGATCTGCCAGTCCCTGTAGTCGGTGACGAGCTCGTTGTCGGAGAACTGGTTGCGCAGGTACGGCGGCTTGATGCTCAGCGCGGTGATGAGGTCGGCGCGGGAGCGCACAAACGTCGCGCTGCAGTCAAACGTCGTGAGCATCCACTTGTGCGGGTTGAAGTTGAACGAGTGGAAGTGGGAAAAGGGCGCGGCCAGGTGCTGGTTCTCCGGGAGGAGGAGCGCCGAGCCGGCGTAGGCGGCGTCGACGTGGACGAACAGCTCCGTCTTGCCGGCGGCGGTCCTGCTCTGGAGGACGCCCGCGATGCCGGCAAAGTCGTCGACGGCGCAGACGTCGGTGGTGCCCATGGTGGTGGTGAGGTAGAAGGGCTCCAGGCCCTTGGCGGCGAGCTCGTCCAGCGTCTTGGCCAGGGACTCGCCCTTCATGGCCAGCCCGTCCTCCTCGTAGATGGGGACGGTGGCGAAGCGCACGCCGAGCACCTGGGCGGCCTTCTTGGTGCTCGAGTGCGCGCCCGCGCTGCCCATGGCCACGAGCTTGCTTCGCAGCCGCCAGACCTCCTCCTCCTTGTCTTGGCCGTCGGGGAGGTGCGCCGTCCTGGCGGCAATGTACTTGTCTCGCGCGCCGACCATGACGGTGAGGATGGCTTCGCTGGCCGAGCCGTGCAGGACGCCGCCGCCGTGGGTGCTCCCGCTGGACGTGTAGCACTCGGGGAGGCCGAGGGCCTGGGCGATCCAGTCGAGCACAATGGTCTCGAGCTCCGTGACGGCAGGGCTGCAGATCCAGTTGAAGTGGGCGCCGCTGAAGGCGTTGGAGTACATCTCGGCAATGGCCGCCGGGTAGCTGCTCGAGCAGGGGAAGAAGGCCATGAAGCCGGGACTGGACCAGTGCGTGATGCCCGGCATGATCTTGTCCTGGATGTCGGCGCGGATGGCGTCGAATGGCTCCGGGTCTAGGGGCGCCGACGAGGGCAGCAAGCGGCGTAG